CACCGAGACTGATGATGTCAGGCATTCTCAAGACAGATAGCCATGCCTCTCACCATGCAGTTTGCCCAGGCAAGTGCTGGAGTGGAGGCAGCACCTTGAAGCTTTATGCTGAGACCAGAAGCACGTACACATCTGCCCACACCTGTGCTTACATACACATACACAGATACGCTTTTGAGGGAGGTTGGACACTTTGCTTTTACACAGTGGTGTCTTAAGTCTGTTTTCGTTAGCATCCATGAAAGTTTTCCTTTTTAACTTCTGCAGAAAGCTTAGAGTGAAATTTAACAAGGACTGGTACAATTTCCCTGGTGTGCCTATGGGAGTGAAACTCCCCCAGCCTGAGGGAATGGTATGAAGCTGTGTCAGGGGAGGTTTAGGTTCAATATCAGGAAAAGGTTTTTCACCCAGAGGGTGGCTGGGCACTGGAACAGCACCAAACCTGACAGAGTTCAATAAGTGTTTGAACAGTGTTCTGAGGCACAGGGTGTGACTCTTGGGGTGGCCTGTGCAGGGCCAGGAGTTGGCTTTGATGACCCTCGTGGGTCCCTTTCAACTCAGGATATTCTACGATTCTGTGATTCTATGACAACCAAATTAGAGGAAACTTCACCAGCATGTTGGACTGCACAGGCATTCTGCTGAGGTGTGATGTGAGTATTCCCTGACACAATGGATCCTTTTTACATTAGGTAAAATCTAAACTTCACAAAATCTTTCCATAGCAGAGATGTCAGCATGTTGGCATGAGACACAGAAGAGGGCATGTTTAATTTCCAGAGCTCTGGAACCCCTCTTATTGACTTCTTCAGGACCTGGCTTCCGTTAGGAAAATGTAAGCCTGTAGTTATGGTGGGCTTTCCTCTGCTCCTGCCGTGTCAGGCTCTTTAGTACCACAGTAGAAGTTACTGAAGTAAAGCTCCTGGAGAAGCACATTTCTCCTATTCACCTGAGGACCTACAGGCTATTTCTACACTGGAATGTGAAAAATGAGCATAGGAGGAGGAGAAAATATCCCATTCCCTTCCATGTCCATTTTGCTGGCTCTTAGTCTTGCAGTCATTCAGACTTGAGGTGCCTCATCTCACACAGCATTAGCTGTATGCAGTGCCTGATTTAGCTAATTTTTTTCTAGTTATTTATCTTTAGGTCCATACCATGTACACACATTTTTTTCTCATATACATATTTAGGGACTTGGGGATCAGTAGGTCAGATATGGGTGACCCCTGTTGCCTCTTAACTCTTGAACTATGCACGAGAGTGGTTTGGGGGAGTGCTGCTGGCACAGACTGAAGCCATTCCAGATGCTGTGGTAATAACATGCTACAGGTAATAAAGTTCCTGTGCCCGGGGATGTTTCCCACTGCTGTGCTACAGCAATAGTAGACAACCCTATGTTTAGGGAGAATGGAGCCAGTGAACTGGGCTGACACGTTTCCAGTCCCACCTTCTCCTGCAGGCCACAGAAACAAAAGGGTGAGTCCATGCTCACGTCCCATATGTCTTCTACCTCTTCCCTAAATCAAGCTTCAGATCTTAGGCTAAACTCAGTGATGGAATAAAGATTTACAGTATGGAAGGCTGACCGTGTTTAGTGTTGATCAGTCACTTAGCTGACAGATAGACAAAGCCTCCCTTGTAGTCCAGAGGAAGGAATCCTGTTAGGAATGTATCCTGAACGATGCCTGGCTCATCCTCATGATAGCACATCATATTGTCACTGAGGGAGATAGAGCTGACCAGAACTGAACTCCAGCCATCCTATCATGGACATGTGCTGGGAGTACAGATCAAAACTGTAACACTTCCCTCACCACTGCCACCCTAAACTGCATCGAGCATCAAGAAACACAGTGGATCATCAGCACAGAAAATACATCAGGTGTGGGTTTGAAACATTCCAGTTGGCTAGGCAAGTTGCCTGTTACCAAAGGCATACGGCTTAAGCAACTGCTGTTCTGAAAGACTGTTAAAATTAAATTGTGAATTGACATCTCTGTCATTGCAGCCCGGGAGCAGAGTGGCTGCCTCGCTATTTCGCAATGGAGAATCTAAGCATAGCAACACAAGGCTAAGTTTGCTGAATAGTGTGCAGTATTATGTAATTTAATAACACTAAACTAGGATGTTCTGGTAATATTATTGGAAAGCTGTTTAGTTTATTTAATATCATTTATATTTTATATGTCAGTTGAATTTGGGAGAAAAAGATTTTAGAAGAAACTGGGGGGAGCGTGGTAGGAAATTGTGCAATGTACTTATCTGAGACTACATCACATGGTCTGCAAAGAACAGCTTTTGCTTTTATACACATAGTCTTGGCGACTCTCCCACTAGCAACAATAGTGCTTAGACTCATACTGATGTCACTGTTGAGTTATTTAATTTGACTGAACGAGATTAATGTGTTTATTTAAAACCTTGGTCAAAATGGAAAAGAAAATCTCGGGACAATACTTTTATGTGAACATGTATGTTTTCACATCTGATGGTTGTAATGTGGCATTAAGTTATCAGGAGCAGTTGTTTACACATGCCAATGCCCAGGAGACCCCCTCAGATAAGAAGTGTGAGCCATTTTCCCTCTCAGCATAGAGCAGGGACTTCTCCACTGCTGCTGGTCCAATGGGCTTTCATCCCAGGCTTTCCTTGCTTCCTGTTGCTGCTTTCAGTGTTGATCCACAGTGATCCCAGCATTATTTTATTTTCTCATGTGAGGATGGGGTTTGGTGCTGCCAGGCAATGACAGCAGTGTGACAGTGGATCCTCCACAGGCTCTCACCAGGGCAGTGAGGGACAGACACCTCCACTGCACAGGATGTCTGCATGGGGCTGATGCTGGGCTCTGTAGGCTGAGCCTGCTCCTGCAAAGGCTGGAGCCTGCCTGCCTAAATTTTATCCACATTATGTTTTTACAAACAGATTGAGGTTGTTTTTTTTTCCTATGATAAATCACTCTGACTTTACTTCGTTCTCATGTGGACCCTCTAAGTGTTTGGAATAAAGTTTGATTTTGTCTAGAGACATTAGCAACTATCCAGTTAGATACTCCAGGTCATTGGACTTTTACTAATACAGAGCAGGGAAAAAAATCGGGAATCTGAAGTTTCTTTTTGTATGGTGGAACAGGTTTCCACAGTTCCATGGAATCGGTCTTTGACTGATGCAGGGCACGAGCAAGGGGGTTTCTGCTGTGCTCTGTCAAGAGCCTCTCTTGACAGTCGAGGACAAAGGGACCCACACATAGGTTGATAGTAGAAATTGCATAAGCCAGAGCTCAGTGCTCTGGTGGCTGCCTGAAGCAAGGTGTGCCTGTTCTGCCTTCCAGTTTTGTAATTCCTCTGTGCATATTTTCATGGTGCTTGGCATATGAAAATCTTGGGGAGGAGCAGTTGCAGCTGCCCGAGTTGCTTCCATTTCTCCTCTGTAGGGCCAAGTGCTTCCATCTTCCTAGTGCAGTGGAAGGCTTTTGGGACTTTGAGCCCCTTCCCCCACCACAGCTGCTGCTGTGGAGGAAGGGAAAAGGCTTGTTATGTTTCCATGTATCTGCATTTCTCGGGGTAATGGGCATCTCAAAGGGTAATGCAGTGGGGCATAGGGATGGGCATGAGAACAAAAGAGAAGAGCTGAGAGAAAAACAGCTCTAGGCAGTCCTTGGTCCTCAGTAAACATCACAGCCTGTCCGAGAGGCTGTGCTGCCCTGGGCCGTGTGTGCTCACACTGCAGCATGCTCCAGAACTGCATGGCAACGAGGGTATCCGAGTATGCCAAGGAACCAGTCTTTGGGATTGGCCTCCTGTCTCACTGTTGTGTACCTGTGCCTGCACACAGTGTCCCCAGGTGCCCTTTGTACTCTTACAAGATCTGCACATTTAAGGAAATTGCACAAAAATATAGTTTGGGAAGCTCTGCCACTCCCTGTGCTGGACAGCATCTGTCTCCTCAGTGGCTGCATCTAATTGTGCTGAGGACTGTGAGCAGGCCCTTATTGGTGGGGGCAAAAAGGTCCACAAGGATGGACTAGGGCAGCCATGGAGCTGCTTTTCTAGAGGCATCCATTTGGAAGCTGTTCCCATCTCCTGTTTTAAGTGCCCTCTGTGTAGTTCAGACCTTTGGACTTGCTATGCACAGGGGGTCCATGAAATATATTTAAAGCAGTAAATAGCTTGACTTACAAGGAGATTTTTGCTCAGAGTTCCAGTCAGTGGAAATATGTAATTTTCAGCTAAAATTAGACTGGCTCCAGCTATATGAAGAAAAAAAAAAGGAAAAGCCCTCAAGAACTAAACAGTTTCTGTTAAACTTTGTCAGATGCAGCAACTCCTAGCAAAAATAACTCAGGGTCCATCCAGCACAAATTGTGTCCAAAAGTTTGTGATTTGGATCTAGAAAACTGTGAACTGTTGAAGAGAGAGAAACAGTTTATGTAGGCAAAAATGGTTTTTCTCTTCCATGTAAGAAAATAAATTTAGAGAATACTAGTAAATCCTTCAAAATTCTTAAATGAAATCTAGGAGTCGTTTAAATTCATTTTGCAATTAATATTTTACAACTCTTCACAGTACAGCGAGATTGGAGTGGCAGAGAGGAGGTTGAAATCTGGACAGTACTTTACTCCTTGCTTCCATAAAATTTGATATTACACATTTATTTTCATAGAAGATTATTGAGCTGAACCTACAGCTACCAGAATATTAAAAAAAAGAGGGAAAATTTTATTTTGTACCAAAAATAATCTTATTCCTCCAACCATTTGCCTGGTGTATTAAACTTTAAACACAAGTTGATACTTAACAATTTCCATGGTCTAACTCTAAAATGAGTGGGATGGATAGTGGGGAGGAGAGGCTTGGGCCCAAAATAAACATCAAAAACCAAACAGAAAACCACTGAAAATTAACTACACATTCTGAATAATTTCTCTTTCAAAACATTTTATTGAAGGAACAATGGAAATAGCGAGTGAAGCCTAACCATGTATTGTGTTGCTATTCCAGGCTTCATCAGCAGTTTCTTGATGTTTGGAGAGTTTTGAGACCCACCCTGTTGGACGACTTGTAACCAGTGCCTAAAACTACAAAAACGTATGTGTGGAAGAACCTTTCCTTGAAGGAAGTGTCCATCGCAGTGCTGTGGAAACTCTGTGCAGGCCTTGCAAGGCAGGAGAGCAGTTTGTGCTTCTGTTGACACTCGTGCATAATCTCTGCTTCTTATGCACTCCAGCACCCCTATCAGCTCCTTGTTCTCCTTCACCAGCCCCGCAGTGAAAAGGCTGCTGGGCTGGAAACAAGGAGATGAAGAAGAAAAGTGGGCAGAAAAAGCTGTTGATTCCTTGGTGAAGAAGTTAAAGAAGAAGAAAGGAGCCATGGAAGAACTGGAGAGGGCTCTGAGCTGCCCGGGCCAGCCCAGTAAATGCGTCACGATCCCGCGTTCCTTGGATGGGCGGCTGCAGGTGTCTCACCGCAAGGGGCTTCCCCACGTCATATACTGCAGAGTGTGGCGCTGGCCTGATTTACAATCTCACCATGAGCTGAAACCACTGGAATGTTGTGAGTTCCCTTTTGGCTCGAAACAGAAAGAAGTGTGCATCAACCCCTACCATTACCGGCGGGTGGAAACCCCAGGTAATTATGTCATCTGCAAATGATTCGCCTCTCTGTGTTAGCTCTTGCTCTGGCAGGTCGAGTCTTGGTGCATCCTACAGCTGTGCTCTGAAATGTGAAATGGCAGGCTGCATCTGATGGAAGGATCTTGGTTCTTACCCTGGCTGGTGCCATCATAGCTCTGGCAGCCAGGACTAGGGAGGGAGTAAGGAGCCCCTCTCCCCCTGGGGTCTGCATCCCATCGGACCCCTGAGGGCACCCGGATCTTGTCCAAGGTGCTGAAAGCAGCTTCCTCTCCGTGGTCCTGGGTGCTGAATGCTCCCGTCTGAACTAGTGGCCATTTGCATGAAGTCTGGGCACCAGCCTGGCCTCACCACAGTGGTGAGATTTATGTCTCATTGAAAAGCAGCAGTTTTCATTAATCCCGATCAATAATTTCTATAATCCTCCTTAATCCTCATTAATCCCCAGGAAACATTAGCTCTCTCTTTAAAGATAAGAATTGCACTAAGATGGTATATTTTGCAGTGAACACGAAACCAGGTCAGTTGATTCTTCCTAAATTACCTGGTGGCCTGCCTTAAGTGGGATTTACTTACCTAAATGGAGAGTTTATGTGAAATAAATCCACCAGGTTCCCATAGAACTTTGAAATTTTCCACTAATAATGCTCTTTGGACTGTACTAAAAACTTATGCCATCACTGAAAGGTCATTTCATGTTTATGTTTTATGTTAATGAAACAGCTGTTAAAAAATTGTAGCATTCAGTGTTGACTTCTATTGAGATAGAAGCAGGGCTTCTATCTATAGGGATCTATGGGGATCTTAGAAAACAGGGCTGGCAAAGATCTTGAGCAGTCATCCTGTTTTTCTCTGCCCAGACTCTCAACCAAACCAAATTACCAGGTACATTCCTGACAGATCTTTTCCTAATGAGCTCTAAAAATCCCATGTGATAAAGGCTCTACAACCTCCCCAGGCAAGTGAATCTATTGCTTTGCTATCCTTACAGTTCAAAATGATTTCTAATGTCTAACCTAGCTCTCCCTTGCTGCCAAAAATCACGGTAATTTAATTTACTAATGGATACAGTTGGTAAATGCATACTTTTTATTCTGAGATTACTCCTTGTCTGGCATGAACTTTACTCTGAGGTGGCATTAGGATCAGATAAGTGAACTGTGGGATGTTTCTTTTCACACAGATGAAATAAGGGAAAGGCATTTGTTGACATTTGTTAAACACCAGGGGCTGCTTCCTCTTTTGATAATCCTTCCAGTGCAGCAGAGCTATCACTGTGAAGTTGCATCCGATCTGCTGTAAACATTGTCAAAACTTTTACATTTTACAGCTACACTGAGTGGTGCTTGTTGTCAACAGTTTTCAGTGGAAAGAGCTGATCTCACGCCTTGCTAAAGTAAACACTTCAATAATTTAGGAAAAGATGCTCATAAAATATCCCATTTTTTTGTTTATTGCACTTCTTTACTTGCAGGCTGCAGTCTTTAGTGTCTTCTCATTTCTTCTGGTGTAACTTTGGTGCAGTTAATGGAGTCTCCTCAGTCCAGTAGCTGACAGCACTGAATGATGCTGATTTCAAAGCTGGTTTTCTCATCTGTTCAGTGCCAGCTAACAAACACTGCTAATGGAATAGTCCAGCAGCTGCTAAATGGCTGCCAAAGCTTGTTGTTCTGATCCTGAAACTCAGAAGCTTTCAGCTGTGAACATGTCTCTATTGTTTGTCTGTGCAGCAGACTGGCAGTATCTCTGCTAGTAAAGTAGAAGAGGACAAGGTGCTGGTCTGGCTACTGCTGAGTTGGTAACATGATCCCAGGAGCAGCTGTGACCCGTGCAGACTTGTGTGGACTAGCAGCTCTCAGAGTGCAGGGGTTAGCCCACAGGAGGGCACTTTGGACTTGGCCACCTTGTTCTGGAGTTGAAAGTGAATGCAGCTGTAAGGATACAAGCTATGCTGTGACAGTTCTCCACAGGACCCAGGAATTGTTCTCAGGCTGTTGTATTCACCCCTGCAACTCTGCTTGCAGGGACAACTCAGAAGCTGAAGCTCACGACTTTAGTGTATATATATATGTACAGTATAGCAAAGAGTGTAACCCACTCAGGTGTTCCGGAGCAGCAGCAGGAGAGAGAACTTGCACCACTGCAAGTGGTGCAGTGCAGCTCCAGTTAGAAAGCAGTGCTGAAAGGAGGTGTTGGCAAGGCAGAAGAACAAATGAGCTTCATGAGAAAGTGGTAATAGTGAGGTCACCACAGACAAGGCTGGGAGTGGTTGATTTAGGTGCCAGTCTGTTTAAATAACAGTCCTCTTTTCGCTGCAGGAAATCTACATCTTGGCTGTTGGTGATCTTAGGTTTATATGAGATTCTCTGAGTGCCATCCTCTGGAGCTGAAGAATCTACCCATTGAATAAATCAACACTATTTTTTTATAATCCACCAGAATATAATACCAATATTATTTTCATGCAAATGTCCATCCTTTCGGGGATCAGTTTCCACCACTGCAGTCTTTCTTGCTGAATGAACCACTCTATGACCAGATCCATTAACTTCAATCCAGAACTAATGAATTGTATCAAAGACGGGAGGGCCTCACCCTTTCTTTGACAGCCTGGCAAATCTCTAGACGTCTGTTACTAGAGGACATCTTTGAAATCTGGTCAGAGATTCAGGGATTTCATTACCTCTGCTGTGTCCTCAGGCTGTCCAGTCCCATTTTAGGCTCTGCTACTGATACTGCACAGATTACACATGGTTTTTATTGCTGCTACAGGTTTTCCTGGTAGATTTCTTCTCAGGTCTGCCAAATAGCAAGTGTCACTTAGACAAAAAGCAGAAAATAGTTCCTCTGTTTATGCGACATCCCACTGCAGAGAGGAGTTAGGCCACCTAATCTGAAGGAGGTAAGTACGCTGGTTATGCTTTGTTTTCCCCTTCATTGTTGCCTTCAAAGAGCTCCTCAGAAGTCTGGTTTGTTGTCAGCAGAAGCTGACACCCTATTGTTTTTATATGAGATCATTCATATGTAAGTATTGCAAATTTGAGGTGCACCATTGCTCTAGACAGGAGAATTTTTGACTTAGACTAACTGACTGCTGTCATGAAGTCTGAGTGGGACTAAGATGTGATAGCCTCCCAGATGGAAGACCGCCTGATGACCTCACTGTTGGCCGTGTGTTTGGAAGTAGTCACGGACATGGGGAATAGATGGATCTCACTGGAGAGTGGTCTCCAAAAGTAGTAAAACGTGCAGAGATGGATTAATGTGTTAGAAATTGCAGTGTGGATGTTGTATCTGGAATTAAAATGAGGCAGATAAGTTTGCTTGCTAGCATCTGAAGTCACAGGCTCTGGGCACAGTCAGGCTCCCAGTAAGAACCGTTGAAGCCAAAGGGAACGGGAGAAAGGCATGAAAGGCAGTGGCAGGACTTAGGACCGTATTTGTCTCCAGTTGAACAAAGATCATCAACACTTCAGCACGCATAGAAGGAAGGACTCACCTCTGGCTCTTGGTGGACAACAGCAGGTAGAAGAAAAGGACCCCAATGAGTGGAGAAAATGTAGGTAATTTATGAGGACAGACAGGTCCCAATATACTCAGTTACACAGTTTTATACCTCTGGTCACACTTCCTTCAGAGTGGTTGAGCCCTGGAGAGTGACATGTTACCAAAAGAACAAAGCGAATGAGGCCCTGAGGGGTAATCTTAGCCACAAACAACAAAATCTCTGAATGCCTCCCCACCACAGAGGCTTTAGCCTTTTAGGCAATCACAGAACAGTCAGTGGAAAGAGTGAGTGAGATGGCAAAAACTGTTCAGCAGAGCAGAAATTAAGAGTGCCATGGTCAGAGTCGGGAAGGAGTTCAAGGCTTGAAAATTCTTCCTGCTGACTCACTCAAGGCAAATCAAAGGCTTTCCCTGGAAAGAGCTGTTCACACATCCAGATTCTCAGCTTTTATTTAGAGGAGCTGAGTTCTCACAGGGCTGAAGCAAGCAGCTCCCTTAGCTGTGGTGCCCACAGTGAGGTGACAGCCTCTCACCACTGCACGACTTTGTTGCACACAGCTGCCCCTTGCTCAGCACCTCTGCTGAGTGCAAAGGGATCACCAGCTCCTCACTATTGAAGGCTGCCAGTCAGAGCTGGCTGATCAGCAGCCGACCTGACAAACATCATACCAGTTTCATGGAGATGCTGAGGAAAACTCCAGAAGCAGACAGCTCACAGCCTGCAGCATGGGATGGAAGGAATACAGCTCACCAAACCCATATCCACAGTGATGGTACTGGTCTTGTCCCAGTAAATAGCAGTTAAAGAGTTTATTCCTCCCCACTAGCTGTGAAGAGATCTACAGAGGACGGGGCAGTGCATGTCAGGTGTGAATACTTGTATTGCCTGTATGAGTCCTACCTGGATGTTTATAGCTAAAAGAACTGTAAAGAAGCATAAATACCTTTCTCTACCAAATGACTTAAGAAAGGGGCAGCAGAGTCTTCATGCCACAAATAGGAGGATATGAGAGGCAGAAGGAAAGAAAGTAGTCTCCAGAGCATCACTCCTTGTCCTGGCTAGAGGCTAATTAGCAATGCATTAGGCCAGAGAAGCATGTATGTGTAGCATCTTAACAGATATCCTAGTGCCTGTGTTTCCAGGCAGATGAGAAGATAGCTTCTGCAGTGAACTCCCTGCCATCAGCCCAATCTTTTGCATAGTTTTAGGGCTCACTTCTTCTCATGTCATGAGTGACTAGCATATTCCCAGTGGTATATTCCAGTGGGTGGTCAGACACATTGTTTAACCCTGCCTCTACTACAGCACAGTGCTAGATCGAGCACGAAGCTGTAAATCCATTGTTGGAACCAGGCACTGTAAATGCCCCAGCTCTCTAAGTGACTTATGTGCATTTCAAGTAGCCTCTTCTCATGCACATGTTTTGCATTATCTATACATTATTTGCTTTATTCATTAGCAATTATTCCACTCTTTCATTAAGCTGGATAAATGACAGCTTGCTGTAATTAAAAGTTGTTAGTTAGCCTACCTAAAAAGAATTTGCCTTACATAGACAGAGCATTTTGGCCCAAGCAATATGTTAAAATACGTTCAAACTGTATATTCCCATCAACATTTAAAACTAAGAGTGCACATTGCTATTTGTTTCCATAAACTAGTAAGGATAGACTGGAAAATGATGTGCTGCTGGGTTTTAGGCCAGAGGAGCTCTGAATACTGGGTCAGCATCATCCCGATGCTTGGACAATTCATCTTCCTCACTCTAATTCAAATTGCCTCCTTATCTTCTTTAGTGGCTTTTAGATCTGCACAATACCAACTGGGAATTCATTCCCCCTACCTGTGTTGAAAGCCTTAACTAAGATAATTAGGCACTATGTGAGCTAGTAACTAATAAAGAAATCTTGGGGTGCAGAAATTACCCATTGTAGGTGCTGCTCTCCCCACCAAGACTATGGAAGACACAGTTAAAGCCTCAGGTTGAACTCTCATATTCAAAATTATTCAGCAAGCTTTCTTGTGTTCCAGCCTAAGGACTGCATCTTCATAGGTATCTCACTAGTCAGGATTTTCAAAGTGTTTTGAGTCTTAATTCTGCTCTTGCCTCTCATATGTCAGAATGCAAGTAATTTGGATCAACTTTGGGTTTTTCAAAGGGGCAATGCTATTAACAGCGCTGACAGTGTGCGATGAAAGTGAAGAGAGTTTGGGAATAGGCAGTATCTTCTACTAGACTAATTTTTAAATGGATTAATTTGGATTTCAGTGTTCTGACGTGCATTTTTCATTTCTTAAATACCAACCACTGATATATGCTTTCTTCTGCTAGATCTTTTCTAACTATATTGCAAGAGCTAAATTGATATTGTTGTAATGTTTGAATTGCCATTTACATTTCCTTTTAAAGATCCCACTGTCTGTCTGGCAGCATTTTCAAGTACCTGAAAGCACAACATTTTTGATCTGGTGTCTGGCTTCAGGTCTGTACTTCCTTTTGCCCACCTGCAACACACTGGTAATAAAATATGCAGTGTATTGCAGAGCACTATTAATTGTTATTAAACCTGGTTGTGAATTTGACAAAACCTGGTGATAATATTTAGAAAACTCCTGATGTGTTCAGTTTCTGAAGAAGGAAGGAATAGGTAACTTTGACAGGGGGAGATGTACCGCCTGAATTTCTGCATGCTCTACCTGTGAATTTTATGGTACCTTGCTCAAGACAAGATTCCTTAATTTGAATGTGGAACTGTTGTAACTGGCTGAAGATCTGGAGAAAAATGTCCAAGAATTCAGCTTTTGATTCTTGGGTTTGGATAGGTTTGTTACTCTTCAATGACTTGTATGCAGACAGCAATATTTGAGTAGCATGGAATATGCCTCTTTTTAACTTACAACGAGACATACTTCCAAGAATACTGCTTTAACCAATTCTTCTGTTGTTTTTGTTTTCAGTCCTACCTCCTGTACTCGTTCCAAGACACAGCGAGTTTAACCCTCACCTCAGCCTCCTTGCCAAGTTCCGAAACACTTCTCTGCACAGCGAGCCACTGATGCCACACAATGCCACTTACCCGGATTCTTTCCAGCATCCTCCATGCACCCCTTTTCCATCATCCCCCAGCCACATGTTCTCCCAGTCGCCCAACAGCATCAGCTACCCCAACTCACCAGAAAGCTCTTCTGGACCAGGAAGTCCCTATCAGCTCACGGGTAAGAATGACTGAGGCATTTGAGGGTCTTGCCAGGGCCTGGGGTCAGGTGACAATTCTGTGTTCACCCCAGACTGTAGCTGCAGATTGAATGTTGGATAGAATGGACTTGGAATGTGATTTCTTGTGACTGTCTCTTGTATACTGTCTCTCAGTCCTTCTGACAGATGCTCCAGAGATGGAGAACTGGAGTCATCCCACTCCTAGAAGTGCCTGGGTGAGATGTCATGATTACTCTGGGGGAAAAGCTGAGGAGAGAAGTGGGTGTGCCAGGCCACCTTCTGTCCAAAGCTGCCCATCCGAGCTTCTGGTACAATTCATGGAAAAGAGCACTTGCAAGACCTAAGTTAGGGACAAAGGAGAGTCAGCTTAGGAACCTTTAGAAACTCAATCAGGAGACAGAATAAAATGGGGAAATTGGTGTGCAGATTTATGGCCATCCCACTGACTGTATAAATTTCGGAAAATTGAGGTGTTTAATAATCTGGCCCAACACTTGGAAAAGTCACCAGGCAAGTTCCTATGACTTTGGAACATGTTCCACAGTTCTGAGATTAGCAGGCTTATGTCACTCAGATTGTTTGTGATGTGAACTCCTGACTTAGTACAGCTCTAATTACTTGGAAATTTAACTGTGCTTTTGCTGTTAATGCAACACAGCTAAGAGCTAGTTTTAATATCAAAACATGGTTCAGATTCACTTCAGCACTTTAACTTTCACATAGTTTCAGTTATGTCAGCTTTTTCACAAAGATAAATTCAGGTCAGAATCTTGTAATTTAAGATTTTAGTGTCTCATCTGTGAAGCATTTAAATTCAGGTCCTTAATGATATGCCAAGAAAGATGCTTATTTTACAAGGTGTTTGTAGCATTTGAACTTCCTTTTAAGCTGAATACTTTCAACATAGTGTGATGTTTTTCCTTCCCTCTTCATTCATTGAATGTGCCTTCATTCATTTCTTCTCTAGATCTGCATTTCTGATTACATCATATTTAGCAACACTGAAACATTTCATCAAGTAGTAAGACTTGTTTGTCTTCTCCAATATTTTTCTTTCACCTCTGTGTAACTAAGCTGGATTCAGTGGAGCTGGTCCTGACAGGTAAATCAGGCCCATTCCAGCTGTGCAATGACTCTGACTCGTGCATTTAACTGAACTTGGGACCTTGCAAAGCTACTTAATAATGGAAGTGGCTCAACCTGAGCTTCAGTATATCACAGCACACAGCATACTGATAAGCATAATTTGCCTGTGTAACAATCAGGGATGGAAGGCTATCTAAAGCAAACTGGAGTTACATCAAGAGCCTTGAGAGGGATTGCTGTGACCAAATATAGATGTCAACAGTTCAGGTTTCTGCATCTCATGGAATTGTCTCTACTCTCCCTGTAATCAGTGGAGGAAAACAGACACTCCTAGAAAAAGGTTCATTGAATATTCTTGTATATGTCCAATACACTGTGTCTGCAGGTTCCTATTTTTCTTTAGTGGGTATAAGGAGATCTAAACATGACTAGTTTAGGAGTAGACATAAAGAATATCCATATAACCACATGATTCTGTCATTATATTCCTTTCTTTAACTTATTTTCTCTTCCACTATTTTTTGTTGGAAGGTTATGTCATCTAAGTGTTAGAAATATCATAGTATATGAAATTCCTAGGTCTTGAACAGTGCTTAAATAGAATAGAATAACATGGCTTACTCGGAGGATTCAGTGATTATCTCATGAGACAGTTCACAGCCACTCCGGGTCAAGTTGCTCCATTTTAAGGGCCAGACAACAGACCCCAAACACAAGAGGGAATTTCAGTCTGGAACCAAGTTAAACCCTTCTTAAAGAGGCCCTTGGTCCTCTGAGCTTGTATGTGGCTATCATTTGCATACAAGCCCACAGAGTTTCTGTTCAAATGAGACAAAACTACACACTTTTAGTGCTTATGCACTGAATGTTGACATTTTATAATATGTAAACGAAGGCTTTCTATGGCGTCCAGCCTTTCTGGATAATCCCCACTATAGAGTCACCTTCTGTTTTCTAGCTCATCTTGCTGTAAATGAAACAAATCAGGAGCTGAGCAATTGTGAGTTGATACTTTTCTTCCCAATGTTTTCATTTCCCGGTGTTTCTATTTCATCTATTGCTCATTGATGGGAGACTGAACAAACCAGGAGAGGGACAGACTTCCATTGTAGGACAGAGGAAAAAAGAACAAGTCTGGAGGGAGTTTTGCCAAGTTTGATTTCTATGGCTTTCCATAGGCTTTTTTTACGGATTATGAAGAACGAGAGCTTTCTCCCAGAGGATCAAATAAAGTTAGCTTCTGCTCTTAAACCTTCCTCCTCAGGTTTTAAATTAAAGACAGAATTCTGGAAATAATGCATTACTTTCTTAGGGTAACTACTCGTGTTAGCAGAGAACTTGATTTTACACAGGTCTAGTCCTGAGGCCCTGCTGTGACCATCCCTCTCTCTATCAAGTGCTGCATGTCCAACATGACAACTTTTCCTTCCTGTCTTTGCTGAAAATGTAATGGTCTTAATCTAGAGACTGAAGGGAGTTCAGATTCAGATTTGTACTTTTTCCGGTCTTCTCAAACCAAACAATGTTGAAATCATAAAATATTCACCAGGAAAAAAAAAAAGCAGGAATTTACCAATGTACTGACTTAAGTGTCTTTCTTCCTTTCTCTCTCCTTTCTTTTTTCTTTCTTTCTGTAGTGGAAACTCCACCTCCACCCTACCATGCAAGAGAGCCTCCAGGAATCCACAATGGTCGGTCAATGGATGCAATAGCTGAAAGTCAACTAGTGCTGTCTTTGCCCAATGGAGGTAAATCTGCCGATGGAGAAGCTGAAAGTAAATAACCATTTGTACTATTCTTTAAATAAAAAGTGTTAAGAAAAATTGTTTAAAAAATTGTTATTTGCACAAGAAAGTTTAGTGATGTGTTATAACAAGTCTCAGGCAGTTTTGCAGTAAGGCTGTGTGCTAGACACCTCCATTAGCTAGCAGGATTGGTTGATGTAATATTTCCATGAATTATGTGCAAAGTTCCAGAGTTTAGACCTTATTTGCATCCATGGACTATTACAGTTAAAAAGCTGTTAATGAAAGCAAACACTGTTATCTACATTGTACAGATAAACATATCAAATCAAGGATGGTGGGGCAATATAAACACAATAGCATTATCAATATCAGAACTCATTTCTTTATCAACTTCAGCTCTAGGTTTTAAGTACTTTAAAGCTTTATGGTAGGGACCTTTTTACTGTCATCTTTGTATTAATGTTACATTACTGGCTGCCTAGAAAAGAAAATGACACGTTCTAGTGGAGTACAAAGATATTTTGACAGAAGACCAAATCTTTGTCATCTTACAAGAATTTTTTACTGGGAGAGGCATTAATGGTCAAAGAAGGGTCTGAGGTCCTGCTTGTACCCCTCAAAACAACTTGATGACCTCTCTAGCATGGCCTCTGCTACCTTTGGGCTAGTACTGGCTAGTACTGATGCCCCCACAATTCAGAGCCCATTGCTGCAGAGTAGGAAGGGGAAATGGAGTTCCTCTGCTGGGTTTTGCTTTGGCCTCCTGCTACTGCCAAGGAAAAATCACCATTGTTCTTTTCATCTACCATATTGTCTTCCTAAAGAAATGTAACTTTTAGAATGAGGACTGAACACATATGCACATTAAAAAAAAATATTACCAGCCTTCTGAAACAGCAAGGAGTGTGTATGTAGCATGGAGCTGAAGCAGAAGGAATGTGAGAGGATAGTGCTAATTATGGATGGGGACACAGAATGGCTGGATAATAACAAGTTATCAGACACCAATACTTTTAAATAAATTGTCAAGCTTCTTTAATCTCTTTATCACAGCCTACCATCTCTGATCACTATCCTAGTGAATATTAGTTGGAAGTTTATTAGAGGTTATGTTCAGAGGTGCTCTGGGGGCAGGCGGACTCACATGCCTGTGGTGAGCAGGCAGGATAAAGTTTCCTACTAATTCCTGTAGGACAAATGAGGCTCCGAGATTCTGTTACATTTTTGAGTTTTTCTCTGTCTCTGACTTAGGAAACCTGGGCAGGGATAGATCCAAAAGAAATGACCTTGCTGACATTTCTGCTTACAGTCTCACGTGGAAGCGGAAACACTGAAAGCATGCAAAAATTGGAGTGATTTATTACTTCTCAACTACAGAGTTTGGTATTAAGCTGAAGGCCTAATACCAAAAACTTGGCTCAGTTTTGACTTGCTTTGAGCCCATCTGTCATCCCTATCTCCTGGTGGTGTGCAGAGCAGATGTATCACTTACTATTTTCAGTGTATAGTTTGGGCCCCAGTTCAGTGAGGAATGTCAGTGTGGTTGATTTAATGCAGTGGAGTTTCCACTTTTAAGAAGTGGGGCTCCTCAGAGGCTTAGAGTTAAGCTGGTGCACCAACCTTTTGCATGTTTGGGACTTCAATCATAAAATCAAGAAGCAATGGAAGCTGCTGTTGGGATAGAGTATGACATAAGTGATGGTTTAGATGAAGAGATGGGGGGGCTGAGAGTGGGAGAGAATGAAAGAAAACAGAGAAAGACTGTTTAAAAATATTGCTGAAACCTGAGCAGCTGCTTAACTTTATTTCCTACAGACTTTCGTCCTGTTTGTTATGAGGAACCCCAGCATTGGTGCTCAGTTGCCTACTATGAACTCAACAACCGGGTAGGGGAGACTTTCCAGGCCTCCTCTCGAAGTATCCTCATAGATGGATTTACAGATCCTTCAAATAACAAAAACAGGTTCTGCCTGGGTCTGCTCTCAAACGTAAACCGCAATTCTACCATAGAAAACACCAGAAGACACATAGGAAAAGGTAAGAAGAAATCCCCTCTCCTCAGGACTAATATTCAGAGCTCAGAAGATCCATGCATTGCATTAACAAATCTAGCTGGTTCGTCAGATGTGCTTGCCTTAAAATCAAACTTCTGACATTACTTCTGAAATAGAAGAAAAGCAGAGGATTCTTTTCTGACTGGATAACAACCAGCAGAGTAACTCCTTACAAAGGCTATTTACTTGGCCAGCAAAGAGAAAAATGTTGTTTATAGTTGTGTGTTCTAATTTAGCAGTATGTATTTTCATTTTATTTATTAGAGCTTCTGGCAACTGGGAATATTGCCATTGAAATGCCACTAAAAGGATAATTGCTGGTGCCTCAGGGCTGCTTCTCCTCCCACCGAATAACAAAGGGAGATGGATGAAACACTTAGTAGCTGAGTTACTTAGCTGAAGAACTCTGGTAGAATTGTGTTTGTAGCTCCCTCCCGCTCCTGCCAGTCCCATTCCCTGCTTTGTCAGCTTTTCAGTAGTAAAGCTAAGGCTTGTATTCTCCCACCAGTGGTTGCTGGTGCAGCTCTGTGTGCTCCACCCCGGTGTACATATACCCTCAGCATGCAGTGTGACATGCTGCTGGTGCCAGGTAGGAGGAGACCACACCTGGACACACACGGCCACACACACTCCGTCCCAGCTCCCCAGGGCTGTGTGGGGTTTGATATTCTCCCAGAACTTACTGCTGTTGGTGGTGGTGAGTCACAAGCCCTGTGCCAGCCACCTCTCCATGCAGATGAAGCTTTGCCTCTTCTGGTATATCCAGTCTAGACTCATTATCTTGCCAACCCAGCCTCTCACCAGTAGCTGCCTGGGAATGCATTTCCCACTGGGCTAATTAACTCTAATTGTTCCACTCTTATTATCTTGTCAACCTCACCTCATTTCCCAGGCCTAGAGCAATATTTTAATTGGCTCTTGATAGTCTAGTGTTGAATGACTGAATACAGGGAAGCTCTGAGACAAATGTGATAAAGTTTTTGCAAAAGGCAGTGAACCTGAGGGCTGGAGCAGGCAGTGCTGTGCTAAGCTCTTGCACTTTTCCCTAGAATGGAAGATGCTTATGTTGCAGATGTTATACGTGTGTGCCATAGTGGTTCATTGTGTGGAGTGCAAATATACTGTACATCTAGTTCTAAGTCACTTAGAAAATAAAGCTTTACGTCCTGTCAGTGTAAGCTGTCAGAGGGATGTAGATCAAAGCTGAGCCTAAAAGAAGAATGACAAAAGATCCCAGCTGTCATTTGGCGATGTTACTTTCTGCCCCAAAAGACGAAGAAACAGAACAGAAATAAAGTTAGGTAAATGCTAATGGTCTTCATTCCTTTAAATGTGAAGATCTGTCTTAATTGATTAAAAGTCCTTTAAAGTCCTACACTAGGAATGTGCCCAAGGGAAGGGAGCAGGCTGCCCAAAGAGGAGTTTAATATATCAGAGATCCTTAATTTTACTGCTCTTCCCTTTTTATGCAAATCCTAAAAAACCGTATACAAGTGGAATACAAGTGGCACCAGTGCAGGCCTGCAGAAGAGCACAGAGCAGCTCCAGAAGCATATAGTTCAAAGGCATGGTGGACAGATGAAAGCTGCTGAAATGGATACAATTGTCACATGTTAACACGGGAGAAAAAAGAGTGAGTAAACAAGATTAGCTCAGTAGGATAAGGATATGTGATTGAATTGTCATCTAGTGTATCAGCGTGAAACCATTTCCTGGAAATACCACATCAAAGCTAAAAACAATCCAGAACACAATGCAACATCTATGAGCAATTGGACCTGTTTCAGCAGTCAGACTTCAAGGACAAAAAAGGAACTTCTGATGAGTGTCAAAAAGATGTGGATGCTTGGAGACTGCTGAATTTTCAGTTTCTGCAGGGAGCAACGAAATACCACTAAAACATATGGACCTTTGATTTGATCTTCTACAAATACATATTTAGCTGCCTGGTTTCCTTTTTTTTCCTTGATTTCCTTTAGGGTGCTTTCCTCTGGTGAATGAATACTAAAATAATAGGAATACACACGGATTAGTGTTGTATTTTAAATTGTTTATGCTTTTAAAAAGTTCACAAGAAAACAACAATTTGTAATCTCTGCTTTCAGAAGTGATATTGATGTTTTTGTTATTGTAGCACAATGTTTGAGCAATGCCTTTGAAAGCATTCATTTTTTTCAGAAAATGGGTTACTTAATATACTTTGAAAACCCAGCCTTTAAAATTTTTCACCTTAGGATCCGCTGTGGTGGGATGACTCTAAATCAGTAGCTACACCTGAAGATTTGAAATGTGGTGCATATTTATGTCCTTCTTCTTCTCCCCCCACCCTCTGTTCTCACTTCATCTGATTATTTCAGAAAGCTATATAGACTCCATCAAGGTGCTTTCTGTCCTTCCCTTTTATCCATTCCCATGGGAAGGGAGGTGAAGTGGTAAGAGTCACGGTGTGAGCACCCCACAGTGAGTGCCTGGTGCAGCTGGAGCTGATGCTTTCCTGTCCCTGCTGTTCCCAGTGCAGTACCAGTGTGCTCCGAGCCACACCCCTGCCACTCGCAGCTCCTTTCAGGTCTTGTGGGTGCTCAGAAGTCAAGTGATGCCTTGAAGACAGACTTAAAGCTTCCCACCTGAGTCACCCTGGAAGACTATGGGAGAATGTATTTTTCCCAGATTCTTTTCCCACTCAACCTGCTTTCCCCCGTGCCATTCCCACTTCTGTTTAGAGGCTGGTTTTGTCCTAAGGATGTGCTGCTGCCCCTTGTTCTTATGACTGCAGAATGATGAACAGACTGGGAATATGTAACCAGTCTTTGTTTGTATGAAAGACACCAAGAATAAAGCTAATTACAGCTGCATTATTAAAGCACAGTTACCAGTAGCTCTGCAGTCAGTCTACTGAGGCTCTGTGAACATTTGTGTGTGTTTGAAGGACATACCTAGCATTAGAGAGGAGAATTTAATTTTTATTTAGCAGTGGCTTTTACAAGAACAAAGAACTGAGTTCTTCCACCTCTCTTGGCCATGGGAAGGGTTCATTTCCCCTAATCTAGCCATGGGAAGGGTGACTGTCTAGCCATTTTCACAGGATGACTTGGCCCCCTTCAGGTTGTGGCTTCATGCTCATGTTCAAGTAGTCAAGGTCCCCATTGCCACACTTGCACTGATGAAGATCTCACAAGATCTCACCAAAAAACAAATTTTCGTTTCTTGTTTTTAAGTTTACTAGCTGGTTCAGTTCCTCAGCCTGGACAGCAGCCCAATCCTCAGCTGTTGCTGCCAGCATGAAAGCAGGTGTGCCAGCAGGGGTAGAGAATGGGAGAGCCTTTTCAGCACCTGCCCAGACCTCCATGGCTTTAAGCTGGCTCTGAGCCTGCACTCAGTAGCAGATGAAGTGAATCACTTGGTCGCAGTGCCTCTCTCCATCTATCAGCTAGAGAATGCATCTACACATTTATCATCTTACAGATCATCCCCATCTTCAAGGTTGCTGAATTAGGCTAAGATAAATTCTCCCACCAATTCAGGTATGTTTTCATGCAAGCAGATATCCTTGGTGGATCAGAGTCTTTGAAGGGATAGAAGTGCTTCCACCTTAATTTCCCCAAGTCACAGTCAAAATTTGAGTTAGTATTGGTAAGTCAGTTGGGCATGGAAGAGTTCAGAAGACAATCAGTTATTTTCTTGCTAAAGGTCACTTGGAACAGGATCTGATGAGTAAGTCAAATCATGTAAATGCAAATACATGGTTCTGATGTGGCAAATAAAGCAAAATACAGAAAAGCTATTTTAAGTACATGCCATGCTGTGTTTTAAATATATGACAGTAGGATCCCATAGTAAAACAACAGCGTGCAGTGAAGTGGGTCTTGGCCAGTGCACGTCTGCTTAACAGCAAGAATACATTTAGCTGTGTAATGCAATAGTGATTTTTCAGCTCCTGGGTAGTTTTGATTGATGTTTAGGATATGTTTGCCATGTGTTTTATGTTTAGGTATGTGTATTTTGTCATAAAGTACCATGCTGCTGGGTAAAAATAAAGCAACCTGCACTGAGAAACAAAAGATCTTGGAAGGATCCTGGGCTTGTATGGCCAAACCAGTAAAGTAATTAATTACTGGCAGAAAATGTGTTGTGAACAATGGAGAAATAATACATGTTCTGTTTTGTTTTTCAAGGTGTTCATCTTTACTACGTGGGCGGGGAGGTTTATGCCGAATGTGTCAGTGACAGCAGTATTTTTGTGCAAAGCCGCAACTGTAACTACCAGCATGGTTTCCACCCAGCCACGGTCTGCAAGATCCCCAGTGGCTGCAGCCTCAAGATCTTCAACAACCAGCTCTTCGCCCAGCTGCTTGCCCAGTCAGTCAATCATGGTTTTGAAGTGGTCTATGAGCTGACCAAGATGTGTACTATCCGAATGAGTTTTGTTAAGGTAAGGATTCTTTGCTTTCTCTTGCATCCTTGCTAGCTTTGGTGCAAAACTAGATCCCACCAAATCCGTTCCAAGGGAGGGTGTACATGCCCAACTTTTGAATAGCCATTCATACTACTTGTTTTCCAGTGTTGCCTTAAACTTATAGGTGCTCAAAATGGATAGCTTTTGTGGTCAACCACGTGGACAATCTCTTAAATTATTAAAATTTAGGTATTCCATAAGCTCTCTGTGGAAAATAGGCAGAGAATGCATGATGGTGCTCCCCCACTGATTGTTCAGAAAGTTCAACTCAGAAGGGCTTAGCAACTTATAAATTTAGTAGCACATGTCTTAGGCAGTTTTAATCTCTCCTACTGGCTACTGGTTTGCAATAGAGCTTGATAGAACCATTGATCTGAAAAAAATGTCCTTATGTATTTAGGCTAATTTAGTCTCATCGGTACCATAGACTGGTATATATTGTCTCAATCAAGAAACACTGGGTCCTTTTTCATCCTTCACTGAGCTTGCAGAGAATTGTTGTTTGTCATCTCACTGATCCCTGACAAATATTGTCTTACTTTCTGATGACATCCACTCTGGCCAGCCTCACAACCAGAAGGGCTTCTTGCACGCAAAATAGAAAACCCGAAAGAACATTTGACCTTTCCCCTATTATTCGGAAGAGACAGGAGGCCACCAAAGCCATTACTGTTCTGATGTCCTTCATATCTGAATTCACAGTCTGACTCCTCTGTGGGAAATCTATCAGTCTTTGTGGGACTTTCACAAATCTTCTGAATGGTTTTCTCACCAGAACGAAATCTTTCAGCACTTAGGATTTATTTACATGCCTGTTGCAGCATCTAACCCCCAAAGAATGGCAAGTGTTTCAAGGTAGTTTCCAGATGATGTGATGCTAGACCAACTTGCTATAGTGCTGCTGGGGAAAGCTGTTCAGCCTGCAAACTAGAGCAGCTGCACCATTAGAAGCCTGTGGTCCTGCTAGGTACCACAAAAATGGCTTGGGTATATTCCTTTGTCTTGTAGATTTGTTTCTATATGAATGACTGAATTGAGATGATTGAATTCACATCTAAGAGACCAAAAAGTGCTTGAGGCTTGAGTCCAGTTTCCTTAAGTTCTACCGAGACAACGAGTTGAGTCCTACATATCTTTCTGTTCTAACTTTTTCTAGCCATCCTTGGGGACCCATCTTCTTAAGTCTTCAAGAGCATTAAGAGTACCCTGGAACCTCTCCCAGGAGTCCAAGGCAAAATCTCCATGCCCATGACTATGCTGTTGCTTTGTTCTTGGGAGGGAACTGATATCTTGTTCACATACAACATTAGGGCAAAAAAAAAAAAAAAAAGAAATCAAGAAACCCAACAAACAGCATTTTCTTTAATGGAAGACTTGAATGGGCATGTTGTTTGTAAAGGCAGTCTAGCCAGTTATGCAATATTCTCATTATCTCAGCGATTCAGGGGCAGGCCCTTTGATGTGTTATCTGCCTCCATGCCCAGCATGGCAGCAGAAATGGTGGTGTTGATGCACTATATAATGCTGCTGCCATATTATCACCTTGCTTTGTTGAAATAATAGCAGCTATTATTGTGCCTCAGGCACCAGAAGACCAGTGCAAGGAGTTATTTTGAACTCTTTCCCATGACGTCTGGAAAATTGCTATGCAAATCTCATCTAGGCTCTTTTTTCCTGGCTTGCAAATACGCTTTTCTGTATTCAGTCTCCCCAAAATATTTCCCTCCCAAGGAGTGAGCCCTCCTGTGTTCAGTCTGGGGTCAGGAGTGACCCTGGGTGTTGGGGTTGCAGTGCCCAGAGGGGCCTGTCTGTCAGAGCCACATTCCAAGAGAGCCCTCATGTGCTGGGCAGTGCTGTGGCTTCTCTGCTGACTTGCCTCCAGATATTGCTGGTCACCTACAGCCCACAGGGCTGGAGATCCTGCCTCTGACCCCACCAGTGCTTGAGCTACCAGCTGGGAGGCAGGGATGGGTAGGGACCAAGTCATGAGAAACTCGCCAGGACTGTGCCATCTTCAGGATGCAGGGCATAGGACAGAGGGAGGTGAAGGTCTTATTCCCTTTGATGCCCTTTGTGTGCCCACAGAGCAGCTGAGAGGAGCTCAAATGTGGGTGTATCATCAGTGAGACCAGCTTCCATCCAGTGGGCACTGCTGATAACCAAAGCAGGATGGCTCTTGCCACCTCTCCAAAGCTGAGGCAGCTGAAGCACAAAGGGAAGAGATGGAGAGTTTCTCCAAGCTGAGGTCTGAACCCAGCACAATCCCTCCCACGTTTCCCCGGGTCTTGGGGCTAAGGGGAACACCCAGCAGACTTGAAAGTTCAGCACTCTGGGACATGGAGCCTAGGCCGGAGAGAGATGCTGCCCACAGGAAGTGGGAAGTGTTGGCAGGAATAGCAGGACCCGTGGGGGTACCAGCGTCCTCTTCCCACCATCTGTGGAAAACACCACTGCAGCTTTGAAAGTTGTATTCACTTTATTCCCTCATTAAGAGAACTCCAGCTCTGGGGTCCTCTCAGTCCTGGAGTGAAGGAGGCAACCTGGAACCCAAGAGTGATACACAGGGAGCACCGGGGTCCTTCCCACCTGGCATTTCCTCTGAGGGTGCTCCAGCCAGACAGCATCACTGGGAGTGTTCGGGAGTTGCCAGCAGAGGGAGATGGCCAGCTACCTGCCAGGTTCCCCAAATTGGCACACTGTGCTTGAATCCTGTAATTGCTGCTCCTCTGGATTTTCTGTCCTGCCTGTCAGCAAGGTGTGCCAGCTCCTCTGACACTTGCTCTCCTGGCTGTGAATCTTCACTGAAGTTGAGTACTTGTGACTTCGTCTGAGAAGTCTGACTGTGCTGGCATTTTATGCAAACATTTACAGAACATCAATCTGTGTTCTGTGAACACAGGCTCTTTCTAGTCTGATAAATGCTCTGCAGTTCAGAAAAATGCTCCCTCTTTGGACTTTGGTGGGTCCATATCTTACTCTTCTGCTTTCTTTCCCCTTTTATTCATTAATTAGCATGGATTTATCCAGACCACTTATGGTGACCTCTTGTTTTAGTGTTGATCCCAGTTTTCCAGCTATCATCTAAAGAAGTTGCTGCTCTGGCAGCCTTAGTTGTCTGAGCTGCTCAGCACTCTAAAATTTTGGTGACATTGGCAGCCATCAGTCTTAATATACCTCCACGTCATTTTTTCATGACCAGAATACCAACTTGCCTGCCTATCATAATGACAGGTATGACTCAGTGTCTGATCAGCATCCCACAGATGAAGATTCTCATCCTGTATTGAGACCATGTTTTGCACATTGCCCTGTGGAAATCTGAGTTCAGTTGTGCCAGTGAGACATCTGGTGAGCTGCAAGACTTTGGGCTGTGACTCGCATGCCTTGTGCTGCTGTGACGTCAGGCTGCCTGCTTAGCACTGCTTAGACACTGTGCCTGCTTGTGAATCATAGAATACGCTGAGTTGGAAGGGATTCATCAGAATCATCAAGTCCAGCTCCTGGCCCTGCACAGCACCATCCCCAAGAGTCACACCCATGAGCATTTTCTGAACACTTCTTGAACTCTGCCAGGCTTGTTGCTGTGACCACTTCCCTGGGATGCCTGTTCCAATGCCCAACCACCCTCTGGGAGAAAAGCCTTTTCCTATCTTAAGCCTGCTCCTTGAAGCATGGGTACTTCAGGTTTTCTTTTCTCCCTGCTAGCACCCCATCCCCGTCTTCTCTCAGATGCTTCATATCCCTTATCTTCCCCAAAAGACCTGGAGAAATTACTGCAGGACTTCCCATAGCAGACAGGCAGGAACTCTTGTTGGAAAAGAGGACATGTTCAAGGATAGAAAACCTGAGGAAAATATTTATACATAGGCTAAGTATGCTACATAGGAACTGCTGGAAGTTTCCAGAGGTTTAGATAAATAGTCAGAAATTCTAAGGTCTTAGACTCACAGGACGAATCTCTACCAATACACAAAGCAGTGCCCAGGACCATTCCTAGTTCCTGCTAATGAAAGAGGCTGGCCTGCTTTTTGCTGGTGCCAGACAGCAGTCTGCCAGACTCTCCTGAGCATGTCCCTGGGGTGCAAACAACAGGGACCATTCCCCACGGGCTCTTTGCAGGCAGCCAAGCTTGGAAACAGGCCTTTTCGTGCCAGTTCTTCTCAGCACCTGGAAGTGTGACCGAGATTTTTAATTTAATAGCATCGAGTCCTGGTAATTATGATAACAATGACCTTAAAAAGGAGCAAAGTGTCTAAAGAAAATTATCTGTAGGATAGATAGCATTAAATCTTGGGAACTTGGGTGGTGGACTATCTGTAGTTATGTTAGACTATCAGCACTGGAGTTGTGATTTAATGTTTTGGGTGTTTTTTAAAAAAAAAACAACACTTAATTTTTTTGGTCCTTTTACAGGGCTGGGGAGCAGAGTATCATCGCCAAGATGTTACAAGCACGCCCTGCTGGATTGAGATCCACCTGCATGGACCATTGCAATGGCTGGATAAGGTGCTGACACAGATGGGCTCACCTCACAACCCCATCTCCTCAGTTTCTTAAGAATCATCTCTAGAATTCCCTTAGGATGGATGCTATTGCAGGCAGTGGCTTATAGAATTCCCATGAACAGAAGCTTCTATATGTAGATGTATGTAGATGTAAATATATCTATACATAGTCTACTTCCTCTCCTTTCCTTTTTTTTTTTTTTTCCATTTTGTGGTTTCTAGTTACTCTGATGCCAGTACAATAAGTTTAGAAATTCAGGTATAGCATATCTGTTCTCTAGTACAAAATAAGCCAAATTCCTTCAAAAGTGTCAAAGGTTTCCTGTGAGCATCTTCATTCCCCAGCCAAGCCAGTAAATGGTGCAAATTCCCAGCCCTTTCACATGGGTTCAAAAACCTGGGTGTAGCTGTTCCTAGTAGGCGAAATTCACCCCTCTGCAGGCAACCAAAGTCAGATCTCTGTGCCATTTATATTCACCTTACATCCTGATTTCAAGTCCAGAAGAGGACCTTAGGTGGTGCACAGGACTTATGCACAGCGATGACTTTTATCTAGTGAACTGAAGGACTAAACTGCAATTCCAGTCTGTCTCCCTACTGCAGAGCACGATGGGACAACAAATCCTCTGAAGAGCTGAGCACACCATCTCTCCTGGGATTTGGCAGGAGGAGGGAGCCCTCGGGACCTGTTCAGCACAGGAACCTTAGAGCATTCTGGACAATCCGAGTAGTCTGGTACTGTTAACACAGTAGGGTATGGTACTGCTGCACTGAAAAGCAACAAGCTCCTAAGAAAAAAATAATAATGAAAATATATGCCATGAGTTAAAAAAACCTAATTAACTTCCAGTGCTTTTTTGAAAAGTACATACATACTTGCACATGTGTCTGGCATGTAAACTGAATCCTATCCATTCTGCAGTATTGATATAGCTTGTTCTAAGTTAGGACTGTCTGTATTCAGACTGCTGTGCTGATATCAAAGGTACACCTAAAAGGGACTTGAACTGTGATTCAGAAAAGGGAAATTAAGTGTGCATTGAAGAAGCAAATAATTACTTCATCATTCATCTTGGGAACAGAAAGCCCCACACTCAAAGGATGCAATGATGAGATGGGAGTCAGCCATATCCACCCCCAGTCCTCGAGATCTGGCTGCATTGCTGGAGTCTGACTCAGAGGGCTTTCCTGACAGTCCTTGCATATATCCCTGTGGATAGTTTTTCATCTTAGATACAAGCTTCTTCATTTGCTGAGCTTTTGCCTTGCCTGCACAGGATGGTGAGGCAGTGTAAGCCATGAACAAGTGAAGAGTGATTCTATGTGCAGAACCTTGTCTGTGTTCCTTCTGTAAGCAGGGAAACTTATTGCCCATACCCTAATCCCATCATTACAAAATGCTGTTCACTTGGAAACCTTTCCTGAGAAGACAGGTGAAACTCTTACTACATTTTGATGGTCTTTATTTTTGCTGAAAGAGTAGAGTATTATTCTTTCCAGGCATAACAGTCCACTGAAACTTAATTTTTATTTAAGGGTCAGAAAGAGTGATAACATCTCCAATATCATTCCTCCATAGAACACAGTAGAAGTATTAGTGGAAAAATAACGTTTTTCAGAATATTTCTTTTCTTCTCACACAGTATCTGGTGCTACTCATTTTGCTGCATAATTAGAAGAGGACACCTCAAGTCCTCAGCTGTATGACACATGAAAAGAGAAATAATATTCACTGGAAAGACAGCGAGTAAACTAACAGTGTTACTTCATTTGAATGCATCTTAATTAATTAATTAATTGCCTGCAGCATTCACAGGGCACAGAAGGATAAATTGTTAAGTTTGAGCAGTAATAGCAAGTTGTACAGGAAGTTTGTAAGTGTGAAGAACCCTATTCTGTCATCATTTGATGTCAGCAATGTCTCTGTGAGATAGGAAAAACTTTACAGTCTCTTGCAGCAATGAAATCCAATAATAATAATAATAATAATAATAATAATAATAATAATAATAATAATAATAATAATAATAATAATAATAATAATAACAACAATAATTAGAAATTCCAGGTCTGCCATTAATTATTTAACAGTCTGTTTGGGAAAACACATTTTCCTCAGCTCCCTCTGTCATAAGTGATCAGATACTGGTAACATTTTTTAGCATATATGTAGCCGTGGAACGGGGTTCTAACCCTTTAAGTGTGGCAGAAATAAGATGCACAGCTACATGGTCATCTTTCATGACAGGAAGAAAGAGACAAGTTTATTCAGAAATACACTTGGTTTTATAGCATGACTCGCAATTCCAAGAGTAGAGAAAACGTGATGGGTTCAGAGAGAAGACACCCCATTCCCAGGGCCTGGTCACACACCACAGCAGGTGTTCTATCTTGTTATTAATTCCTTTTTATTTTGACCAAATTATCACCCTGGGAGAATTCTCCCTAGCCTTGAGCTGGACCAGCTTATCGGCTGGGAACAGAGCTGAAAAGTTCCAGCCTGGAATATTTTTCAGGCTGTAATTTTCTTACTTTCTCAATATGTGTCCCATACATGTATATTGCCCCTCTTCTCCAGTTGCACCTTTGCTCCAGGATGAGCACTTTTTGATTCTGCTCATTCCTTTTTTTTCTTTTTAGCAGCTAAGCACAGAGGAAATCACCTCTACTGTCTAGGATCTAGCTCTGTCCCTTATCCTAGATTCTTCTTGCCTTTTAGGCTGAAACTTCCTTCCCTTTTAATATAGAGAGAAGCCTAGGAGTTCCTTTTAGACATTCCCAAGCATTGTTATCTTCCTCAGAGACAGCAAAAGGAAATGTTCTGAGGTGCATCTGCTTTGGGCAGCTCCAGAACTCGGTTTTCTGTCAATGCTGCAGAGAAAATTTGGATGGCCAGTGAAGAGAAGCAGTTTCTCCCAGGGCATTATTTGTTTCATCACCAGGTATTTTAAGTAGGTGAAATACACTGCACTCTGAGCATGCTTGTGTCTTCCCACTGAGTATAAGGGGAACTCAGGGTCACTAGCTCAAATGCAGATTGCTACACTGGATATATCCAAAAATAGATGACGAAAACCTTAATGAAGGTGTGGTGGCTTTCCCAGCCTAGTAATGATGCTTGCTTGTGTTTGTTTGATTTAAATGGGAGTTGGTAAATTCAGAGCACTTTTTACTTTCCTTTATGTCTACATTTATATAATCATTTTACAAATAGGATCTGGCTTCCATGCAGTCCATACATGCATCTCATTTAAGGTAGTCATCTTAATACTCCCTTACTAGGAAGAAAAGAGGCATTTCTGGAGCATGATTCTTCTGACCCATTTTAAATACCTGTATTAGGACGAGATGAATTTCAGCAAATTTAACTATTTGCTGAAAACTGGATCCAAGCACTCAATTCTGGGCAATTCTGGCAACAGCTATCTCAGTACTTAGCCTTTGGGAAGGCTGATACCATCGTGTCAGTTGTTTCCTATTTTGCTGGTTTCTGGGGGCTTAGCCCACTGTGCTGTGCAAACATTCAGAAGCTGACAGCTCCTCCCCAAAGCCCACGGTACATGGGAGAAGTGGTAACAGTGGATGAGACAAAAAAGTAAATAAGATGACCCTGTCCAGATGCAGAGATAAAAAGTAAGACTAATAAACCACTAATTTCCCTTTCTTTTTGAACAAAGTTTCTTTTACAGGCTTCTCTAGTATATGTGAATTGAAACTGGTTAAAAATTCAGGTTTCTTAGAATTTACAGTAATATAACTTTGGATCTCTAATGTCTTCCCCACTTTGGAAGGAGATAACTTCTGCTGAAAGGTCTTCATGAACTTTTAAGCCTGTAGTCAATTTAAGGTCTTTATAAATGTACTACTCATTAATACTCAAGCTTTGGAGATAGTCTTCCTGAGAGATTTAAAACCACTTACAGCAAGGCTACTTAGTTGAAGGCAGATTTTAAATTTTTTTTTTTGAGTCATCAACAGTTCATAGCCTCTTAAAAATTTCTGTTGAAGAGTACCATGCATCAACACACAGTGGTGGGAGTCTAATGAGGCAGAGGCATAAAGCACGTTCAGCATGATATGTAGACCACTTGTTTTCCTATTAAATAGTCGAGGGAAGATGACTTTAGTTGCTGCCAGTTCTTCAGCAGCACCAGTGTTAATGTGCTGTTTGCATCCAGAGGTGATAAGAGCCAATCTTGCACCCTGACTGCCTGGAGCCATTCCATGGCACTGCTGCTTGGGTGGCTCAGTCCCATCCCCTTGCCTTGGAAAAGCTGCCCAGGCATGGCACAGCAGTGGCTGTAGCATTACAAGGGGCAGCACGTGCTTTCCCTCCCCATCAGTGGCTATTCCACCAACGTCTTTATTCCTCATCAGAATGCTTCACTGAGCTCAGTCTGAAGGATAATGTACCAGAAATGTAAAGGGGAACTGTGGCCCAAAGTAGCATCAGCTGGAGTTGAGCAAATCCCTTCCATGTCTCCAGCAGGTACTCTGTGCCAAGACTTTCACTGCCCTGAGCAGCCTTCTCCAAGCAGTCGCTGTCTGGAGCAGGGTGTCAGACTTGACGCCATGGTGAGATCCCTTCCAATATACATTATCCTCTGGGTCTCTGCGGAGGTTCAGTGATAACCAGTTGCCACAGGAAGGAGCTCTCTATTAGCAGCAGTTTCAGGATGAAACATGTTTCTCCTTAGCTATTTCGTATTTGTGTTCCCTCAGCATAAAATCAGCTCTCCAAACATCTCTTGCTATAAACATCATCTTCACCACACCCCTCTTAAAATGCAGAAAACAAGGCATTTGTGACTGTAACCTTATCTAATCTGCCCTTGTTTTTCCTGGTTTACAACACCCACCTTTGTCTATCAGCTCTACAAATCAATCTCACCGGTGACTACGGAGTTGCACAAACAGCTGGACTTAAAGGGGCAGCTCAGGCAGAGATTTTGCTTCTTGACTGCAGGGAAACAATAAAAAAGCCTGATCAATTTAGGAACTTTAAAGGGGTATCAAGTATAAGACTAATTTTCTTGGATTAAGACTGCTCTGCTGCAACTATAACTTTTAGGAATCCTCTGTACTATTCACCTCTTCTCCTGGCTCCCCATAACCTAACTTAGTACAACCAAAATCAAACACAAGAAAAAAAGTTCAATGAGTCATAAGGTAATTAAATAGAATTTTTCAAAGTTGAGAAAGTGCTGCCAAAAATGTAGATTTCTATCACAAGAAGGCTACGTAGTTATAGGACAAGTGGGTAATGGCTTTAACTGAAAGAGGATCGTTTTAGTTAAGATATTAGGCAGAAATTCTTTATTGTGAGGATGGGGAGACACTGGCACAGGAAAAGCTGTCCCAAAAGAGTTGTGGATGCCCCATCCCCGGAAGTGTTCAAGGCCAGGTTGGATGGGGCTTTGAGTAATGTGGTCTACAGGAGGGTGTCCCTGCCCATGGCAGGAGGGTGGGACTTGATGATGTTTAAAGGTCACTACCAACGCAAACTATTTGATGATGATGATGTCCCAGATGCCCGCCAAGCCAGAAGCAAGACTTCCTTTCTATGGAGAAACTTGGAGAACAGGCTGTTACTGGAACATCTGAAGCCAAGGCCTTCTGAGTGAGTGCAGACCCCACTGAAGGGGATGAGAAAATTTTTATAGAGGATTTACAGGGTGTTCCAGTAGCCAGAAATGCACTGAGATAATGAAGAGACTGAGGAGGAGGAAGTATACAACCAGATAAGCCCAGTGGTCATCACTGGAAGTATCAAGGCAGTACATGCTCGGGCAGCCACTCTGCTCACTAGAGCTTTTTACATTCACATCTGAACTAATTGTCAAGGCCTGTCTTAGGAGCAGCTTGAAGTACCACAATCCTTGCTCGGGTTTTCCCATGCACCATTTGATATAGTGGGGCAAATAGTAAATAGTGTCCCACGTGCTCCAGAGAGTAAGCTCTGGTTGCATGTGGGAACCATGCTTAGAAGATTACCCTCTGCCTCGCCACAAGATTAATGAGGAACTCAGCTTTGGGGCACTGTTCAAGGACACAATAAACACATCCAGTACGTGCTCCTCAAAGAAAGATGCAGTCTGAACAGAAACTGCTCAACTGAAAGATGTGAACTATACATAGAGAGAGCATCTAACCTGGGAATTGTGACAAACCTCATTTCAAAGCTCATATCAAGATATGGTAGGAAATTGCAGTGCTCAAAGGAAAACAGCCATCAGGAACCTTCATGAGGACTCCTGACTATGAAATCACATTTTAAGCAGTACATTAGGATGGACAAATGTGCTTCCCTAAGAGCAACTAAGAGATCAAGTTACCATGAAAAAAAGAGCTTGTCAGAGTTGGTCCCATCTTACAGCCGGGAGAGAGATTCGATGAGATTTTAGATCGGTTAATAAAAAACTTCTCAACCTGGAAGCTTCATTGCAGCCACTGAAATAGGGCTTGTTCCTCATGGCAGCTCCAGGAGTACCTTCCTGCAAGACACAGGAAGCCTGAGTGGGCATTTAGTCTTTCTTCAGCTGAGAGAAATCGCTTTGTGTCTCTAGTACAGACAGACACTTCTGCACGTTGGGGACCAGCACAGAACACAGCCTTTGGTTTGCACCCATCATGTACCATGGGAAGCTCCAGAACAGCCAGGAACAGCCAGAATCCTGTTACATGTTCACCCCAGGGCTTTCCAGACACCTTGCCCAGGCATGCCTTACATTACATTGCCATACTGATGCCACACTTCTCTTCCAGGGAGGTGAGGCACATGAGAATCCTAGCAAGAGGACACCTCCACTTGCACTTGGGCCATGCTTGCAAACTTGGTGCCTGTACAGATGACAAATCTAATTTGCAGGCCATGTCTCTCACCTAAGGTAGACATAACCACTGTCCTCCAGAGTCAGCTACTCTTCCATTACAGTCAATGTGAACATTTGCAGCTA